AGGGCTCCTCTGCCCGGCCCTGCCGGCGGGAAGCGGTGTGAGCGGTCTGCAGGGGGTTGTGATGGGTCCTCCCAGCTGCTCCCGTGGCCGGGTGGTGCTTGGCTCCCGAGCCCAGCGGTTTGTGAAGTGGGAAGTGAGCGTAAAGATTCTCCGTGGCAGTTTGGCGTAAAGATAATCTTCCCCGTAAAATCCGGACCATAAATATCCATAGGCACGTACATGGTCTTTGGTGAGTGAATGCAGGAACAGAGTTCTCTGAAGTTCTTCGCGTTGCAAGGCTTGGAGGACTGCTGCTGTTAGGTTTTTTTTCTTTTCCCCCTAAGTCTGTCATTAATTTGACTAAAATAGTTAATGTATTAAGCACATTTTATGGGTTTTCTTCTGGAGAGGTGGTCTAAAAATATTCTCATTTTCTGTGGCCTTTTCAGGAGATATATGTCACAATGTAGCAAAAAGCATGGTATCCCTCTAGCAAGTACCACCAGGGTGTTTTGGGCTTTTTTTGTAGTGGAAAAAAAATAGCTGGAGGAAAAGAAAGAAATAAGTGTAAGTAGGTAGCAGGTGAAAGTATTTATCCTTCTGTATGAAGGGTTGAGTAATGGATTCAAATCTTTGTGTTTGGCCTTCAGAGTAAACTCACAGTCAGCTTGAGGTGGATATTTTTTACACGAGTCCCTGTATTACATCTGTATGTGAGGTATTTGTAAAAGGCCATTCAGGATTGTCAATCTCCTTTTTCAGCTTGATTTCCCATTTGAGTCGAGTTTAGTCGTCATAAATGATTTCTGCATGGGTTTGCACCTCGGCCTTACAAACTTCCCTGGAGCAGATAATTTGTATTTTTTTTAAATACAAAAGATTAAGTATTAGTTTCAACATCATAGTAACGATGCATGAGGCCATTTTGTGGAACAGATGAGCCAGCTATTATTAGTGTTGTTTACTTAGGCTGTACTTTATTGGGATTTTGTTGATTGATGTGAATTGGTGAACAAGGCTGCAGACAAGTAAACCCCCAAAAGGGAGGGGGGTGAAACATGGGAGAGGCAGGACTTAAGTGGATTTTTACTTTTTGCAAAACATGTTGGGATCTCAATTACTCATTAACATTCATTTGGTTCAAGAGGATACTGTTGCGCTCTCTTTTAATGATATAGATGCCATAGTTAAAGTATAAATTGTGTCATTAAAACTCGCTACCTTTGCAAGTGTGCTTAAATAGAAAGTATATTTATTGCACTGGTAATCAACATAGAACAAATCCAAAGTGGGACAGACATATTTCAGTCTATCTTACTAATTAGAAATATTGAAACTGTTGCTTCCTCATTACTTCTGTAGTGAGTGAACTGTGCTGATGGTGGTAAGAAGGATGGGCAGAATTGATGATGATATCCTGAACAACAACATGTCCATTAAAACATGTCTTGCTACTGTTTAAGTGTTACTGTAATTTTAACTATTCCAATTAAAGCTGTGAAATTAATATATCGCTGTGGTAAGTATGAGAATATGTGTGGGAGGATTACTAGAGAGGAGTAATTTAGACATTGCACAGAGTTATTCTGTAATAAGTATTGCAGTTTAAATTAATTCCCACCCTAATCTAAGTTAATTTTACAGGGTGGACAGGCCCTCTGGCTTTTCACAGTTTTTGTCTCTTTATAAAAAAAATGAATTTTCTGTTGAGAGTTTTCTTTGATAATGAGTGTTTAATTTTAAACAAGCCTTGACTCTCCAATACATTTTGAATTCTTCTATTTACAATTATGTAGGGAAGGACTGTTCAGCTTTTTGAACCAGGAACACGTTTCTGAGGCTGATGTTCTCAAAAGCAGAACCAAACTCCTGTTTGTCCTGAAAAGGCAAGAGATGGTCTTTTGGCTGTACCTGGTTCATGGTTTGCTGGATGTGTGATCCTGTTCTAGGGGTTTTGTTTCAATAAACTAGATAGTAGCAGTCACATGTAGTTGAAGAAATGGAATGTTTTCTGGTTTGTGCTTGGTGCGCACTAGCTGTTTTACTGGATGAGACATATAAGATGGGACCATGCCTTATGGGGTATAGTCAAGAAGAGCTGTGTCTCTTTGTGGAATCTGGTTTTACATATGTGTAGCTTATAGGATGCCTTTTCTGATCTGTATTTATAACAAAAAACTACTTGTGGGTTTTAGGTTCTGTCGAAATGGAGCTCAGTGATGCCAATTTACAGACTTTAACTGAGTATCTAAAGAAAACACTAGATCCAGACCCTGCTATAAGGCGTCCTGGTAAGTGATTCTCCTGAGTGACCAAAAAGCTTAGTTTCTTTTTGGCTCTTCTGTCTGTGTATAGTGAACTTCAGTGGATGTTTATGCAGTAACCTCTTTGCAGAAGTTCTCAGTATCCTTTTAAAACAAACACACAGCCCCCACCCCCCCAAAAAACCCACCCTTAATGAGCGACGGATATAAATATTCATTTTGTTTGCTTTTTGTAATTTTATTTTCCTTTATTCCTGATTTTTTTTTTTTGTACTGTTACTTAAAACAGTGCTGCTGCTCACCATAAACCAGGATTTACTTCTGTCAGGTTATGGCTTTTTAAAATGGTGAGGAGGCAATATTTCTACATCCTGCTTTGAATTGAGAGCTTTTCTTAATGGCAGAAGCGTTAAAGAGTTTAGTAGTAAAGCTACAGTACCTTTTGTCAGACTTGTTCTGTGGTTCTGTTCTTGTGAAACTCTAGGGAAGTGTTCATGTGTTGATTATTTTAAATAGATACTTGAGGAACTGTAGGACTCCCATTAGAAAAATCAGTTCAGCTTTTGCTAACCGTAGTATATTCTCTTACAGCGGAAAAGTTTCTTGAGTCAGTTGAAGGAAGCCAGAATTATCCGTTGTTACTCTTAACACTGCTGGAGAAATCACAGGAAAATGTCATCAAAGTGTGTGCATCTGTAACCTTCAAGAATTATATTAAAAGGAACTGGAGAATTGTAGGTATCCTAGTGAGTAGCTTTGCTAAGATTTAATAATCCTTTTAAGTTACAATAACATATTCTACAGTAACCTTGAAGAATGTGTGCATGTCTGTGCTCTGTGAAAGAAAGTAGATCACTCAGAGAACACACACGAGGTGTAATTTGCTGATGAGGGACTAAAACCTGGACCATGGGAGTCCAGTCTATTAAAAAGAGCTAGAGCAGGGTGATAAAATGATGAATGAATAATTTGCTCTAATGTATGCATATTTTGCAGAAGCACAATATTTAAAGCTCATTTAACTAACAGTAATATTATTTAAACTAAAATTATTGTGAAGTGTCTGTATGCATGAGCTGGCCAGTTTGGCCTGTATCTATTGTCAGTGTTACACATGTTTCAAGCCAGCACTGCAGCTGAAAGTGATGATACTAGCATCCCTTTCATGGAAACGCATCTAGGGCAAAGATTAGTGTGAGACAGTTTATTTTGGTGGCCTTGCCAGTTTAACATTTAGATGTATTGCCATTTAATCTCACTTTATCATGGTTTTGAAGAGGTCAGAAACATTTTTGATTCAGAGCTCTCAGCATTCATGAAATTTAATTTATGGTAGAAAGTACTACATTTGAGAGCTCAGGTCCTTCAGCAATGAGAGGTTTTAATTGATACTGTCTATATTTTGCCTCACTGAAAGTACTGTTTGTATCTGAAAAATATCAACTGTATAATGTTGCTTTACTACAAGGAAACTGTTAAGTATTTCATCATTACATCTTAGCTGGTACCTATTTACAAATTTGCATGTGATTTTGCCCCTTGCCCTGGCACTAATATTAAGAAGCTGTAGCAGTCCTAGATCTGGTTATGTTTGATAAGATCAGCGTGTTCAGTCTGGCACGAAATTTCTAGAACTTAGTTTCTGTAATACTGCATTCTCAGTCATTTCTCCCAAATTGCATCTTTATCTGTAGTATATTGTAAGTAGAAATAATGTTCTGGTATGGAAAAATTTGTAAGTGGCTTCCTTTTTATGGATTGCTGATGTAATTCAGGATGAGATTTTGTTTTGGAGTACATGGAGATGCTATGCAGTAAGTGCATCCAGAGGAGTGTTACAATGGCTATGTGGCTTCAAGCATGTTGTTTTGTCCAAAATTGCAGCTTTCATTTCAAGAGCAGCTGTATGAACATAAAATACAGCCCTAAGGCTAGCTTACCTAGATCACATGGTTTAATTTAGCAGCCTTGGACTTGACTGATACAAAGCTCAGTGGAAGTAAAAGGATTTTGCCTATTCAAGGACATGAATTTGGTAGAGCCTGGAGAGCCAGGTGCACAAGGCATTTCTGGAGTGAGGGAAGAGTTTGCTTTTTTAAATTTATTTTTAAAGTATGTAGAGAATACTCATCTATGTGCTGCCTCTTGTGTCCTGTAAATAGGTCTCATTTCTTTGAAAAAAAATCTCATAAATAACTCTATAGTAGGATTTGCTATTGCTGATCTCTCCACCACATCTGTCCTCAATCTCTCTACATGCGTAGCAGTGAGTCCTGCTTCCCTACTTGGACCTTGCCTAGTACAGTCATTGCTGCCTTTCACATCATATAAACTTGTAAAGCTCAGGTTTTAAAGATCATCACTTTTTGTGGGTTTTAATGTATGTAGAATTCTGTACATTCTTCTGATTCAGTGCAATGTGATAGAAGTGGGAGAGCAAGTTCTTTGTGTCTTATTTTTGTAACTGCTTGTTTATAGCTAAATAACTCTTGAAATTTTGAAATTACTAAACTTTTTTTAAGTTTATAGGAAGATGGTGAAAGGGAGGTAAGAAGGGGGGTAGTACTGCCATCTGTCTCTCTGGAGGTGCTTGCCTCTTAATTGCTGGTTAATTTCTAGGTTACTCAACTTCAGTGCTGTCATCACAGATAATGTGACTATCACTGCTGTAACTGGTTGATGACAAGCCTCATTATTATTTTATTTCTTTAGCAGAAATTTTCTACCACTTGGCGCTATTAGCTGACTGGACTTTAAACTGGTTGATATTTCAAACTGATTAGATAATTCTTTAATATTATGGGTTTGATGGTGTAACCTGCACTCATCTTCATGTACAGTTTCTAGAAAGTATGACTTGAGGCAGCTTGCACAAAATAAATCTTTGAGGTTGGCAGAAGTGAGGACAGAGATGTGGTTTGGTGTGGTGGAAGAGGAGAGTATTGGTTAAATTTACATCTGTTATTGGCATATGCACCCAGCCATGTTATGGCTGAATTGCTGATTTGAAAAGTCACCATTGGAGAAGGAGAAAAAACTAGCTCAAGGTTTTACAGAAAGATGTAATTTCTTTCGGCTTTTTTCAGGTGCTGCTGTTACAGATTCATTGTAGGCAATATCTTTAACAGATCTAAATTGGTACAAGCAAGTGGTTTCTGAAATGCTGATATTCACTCGTTGCCTAGAGTATACTGACATGCCCATGACTTAATTATTCTTTTAATTTTAGGTTGAGGATGAACCGAACAAAATATGTGAATCAGACAGGATAGCAATTAAAGCCAACATAGTGCCCTTGATGCTTAGCAGCCCAGAACAAATTCAAAAGCAGGTAATATGCCAATTTTTTTGTTATGTCCATGAGACTTTTGGAATACTTTAAGTGTGTGTCAAGGTTCTGGTTATTGGCAGAGCTCAGTTCCCTTACTGATGAGGTCATTCCAATGCAAGTAACTTGGAGTATGTTGTGATAGCTACTTCTGCCTACTTTTTTTTTTAAAGGCAATTACTGTAATGCCAGAAAGTGAGACTGCATGTGCACATTGGATTTCAAGTGAGATTTATATATTTGTCTTGAAAACTAGTAGATATTTAACCCAATGATTTTTGAATCTGGCAAAAGAATAATAAGCATTTTTCTTACGTATTTGCAACACCTGGCATGACTGCTGTATTTTTTGTAATGAGGAGCCTGCCATTGTATCACATCATGGTTATGTTTCCTTTCCAGTTGAGTGATGCTATTAGTATTATTGGTCGGGAAGATTTTCCTCAAAAATGGCCGGACTTACTGACAGAAATGGTGAATCGCTTTCAAAGTGGAGATTTCCATGTCATTAATGGGGTCCTTCGCACTGCTCACTCTTTATTTAAAAGGTATTGGAAATAAGGGAGTTAGTATATGGATTGTAAATTTCTGTTCAACTCTAAATTCTTACCATTAGACTTAATTTTGTAGAGTTACCAAGTCTACGGTTGTGGATTCTACTTATGTTTACTGACTTTTTAATAAGAATTTAAGTGGTTGTCAAATTGTATGTATGGTATTGAACGGTGTTGTTTAGTTCTTATTTACTTGACAGTATTTGTTTCAAGGTTCAGCACAAAAAATTAATTATATGCATCTTAATTTGGTAATAAATATGAGGACTGTATTCTATTTTTTGTGTATGTGTCTTTCACTTGTCAGGTACCGACATGAATTTAAGTCCAATGAATTGTGGACAGAGATCAAACTTGTACTTGATGCCTTTGCTTTGCCCTTGACAAATCTCTTTAAGGTATTTCTTTTTTAATCATTTCTAAAAGAAATTTAGCATTCTGAAATGCTTGTTGTGAATGCTTGCAAAATGAAAACTTAAGAATAGTTGCTTTGGAACTGTTAATGAGGTTCAAACAGAAGTCATGAAGTGAGACCTGACAGGATTGGTAAGGGGAGGGAAAGGAACTGTATTTTCTGGTTTTGTTTTTTTGTTACTTGACACTTTGCAGTACCTCTTGTCAATGTGGTTTGTGTGTGCATGTTACTTGACTGAATCTTATGTCTTTTTCTAGGCGACTATTGAACTTTGCAGCACACATGCAAATGATGCTAGTGCTTTGAAGGTTCTCTTTTCTTCTCTCATTCTAATTGCAAAGCTGTTCTACAGTTTAAATTTTCAGGTGAATCTCCTTGTTCTTCTAATAGTTTTGCTTTGATCTCACGAAGCTGTTATCCTCTTATTTATAGGATCCATTTGAGGCAGCCTTTAAGGCCATGCTTTATTGCAAAAATAAAAGTTGACAGTCTGCATCAACGCTGGAGTAAAGGCACAGTAAGGATGGGGTTAATTAACATGTTAGCCTGGCCCTATCTAAACAAAAGTTCAAGAGAGTCTAAGCTCTTGTCATAGCAAAGAGGCGTTGTCTGGATAGCTCTCTGAGTATGAGCTGTGAGAGACAGAAGTGAAATGCCTGAGTTTGTACTCACTGTGCTCCTTTATAAATATGTCTGTACTGACATGAACTCCGTCATGTAGATGTAAGTCAAACCAGTAGCTCTGTAGCACTGTAGTAGCAAGTAATTCTGGTAGCAGTGTGGGGTTTTCTGTTTTGAAATTGGATATGAATCTCTAACATTATTAAATAAATGCACTATATGAAAAATGGTAAAAATATACTTTCTGAAGTGACAAATGTTTAGTGTCTCAACATGAATCTAAGTCTGTGAAGTGTGATAATCACACCTTGCTTGCTTCAGCTGTTCTTCCATATTGGGCAAAAGAGCAAGCTGGAGTTAAAAGGGAGGTTTGTGCTCTTTTGTTCTGAGAGTAAGAGGCAATAAGGTTTACTCTTTGTAAAGCTGTAGGCTGTATAGGGTGTAAGCAATGAGTTTATTTGGAAATAGTGTATTCCAAAGCCTGTGTCTGGAGGGTTTTCATGAGAGGACGAGGGAGTATTGTTTAATTTTGAAGATTATTTTCCATGCTTTGTTGTCCCTCAGTAGATTATGAGGTGGATACATACTACTTACAAAGTGGGTATGTTATCTAAGCAGTGTAATCAGAAATTTAAATGTAGATTTATAGAATCGTAGAATCGTTTAGGTTGGAAAATACCTTTAAGATCAGGTCCAACAATTTTTCCTAGTATCCAATCTAATTTAAGCTTTTCCTTCACAGGATCTTCCTGAGTTTTTTGAAGATAACATGGAGACGTGGATGACAAATTTTCATACTCTTTTAACTTTAGATAATAAACTTTTGCAGACTGATGTAAGTACTGTGTAAACCTCCTTCCTTCCCTCTGTGTCATGGAGTGGATTGACTGAGAACTTAAGTCTAACTCTGAACAATACAAAGTTTTCTTTGTTGGGTAAGCAAAGGAATAGAATTATTATAAGGAAATAGGGTTTAAGAGAAGTTGCCCAGTTGTCTTACAAATTTGAGGTCCAGTTCTTGAAGTGTGAGCAGAAATCAAATTACAGATAATCGAGTAGATTCTTTCAGGACATCTGCCAAAGTAACCTGATCATTAGAGAGTCACAGTGCTCAGGTTTTCTGTACCTTTCAGCTGGTTCATGCACTGTTTTAGATAACAGGATATCTTAAAGAACTTGAAACAGTTGAACATAGAAGGCATGGTATCCCTGAGTGCTTCAGTTTGGTATTTGCTGTCTTTGTCTAATTGTAAGAATTAGTAGTTTCACAGGTGAAAGATAATACCAAGTCATCAAAGCTCAAATTAATTTTGGGCATGCCTTCTGCATTTTAAATACTGTCTTCCAGCTACAGTACAACAGGTGGCCACATGATGGAGCCAAAGCAACTCTATAAATTTCTTTACAATACGTGGGGAGGCATGTTAGTTGTGCTATAGTTTCATGGCTGATATGGCCAACACTGCTGCTAAAAGCAGCTTTGCTCTCTTCTCTTGTGTCTGTGGGCTACAGGCATTCATGCAGCTCTGTGCTAAACTGAGTCAGGAAGTGATAAGTCTTTTACAGCTATTCCAATTTAAAGTAGCTAGATATGAAGTCTTCTAAGCACATTTTTTGAACACCTTGTGTTGTCTTTTTCCTGCTACATTTGTAAATTAATTTCATGTCAAACTCTCTGGTCTAAATTATTTAAAGTGCATAGTACTTTCATTTAAAATGTAGGTATGATTTATAACTTGCAGTACAGTTCCAGTACAAATCAGCAAAATACAGTAATTCTACTGCAGGATTTCTTTCACCTATTTAGAACATGGTAAAATAATAGTGTAACTATTTCCTTCAAATATGTTGATACTTTAAATATTTAAGTAGTGTTGAAGTTTGGTTAAGTTATTGATTTTGTTTTATGTGAGGATGAAGAAGAAGCTGGATTACTGGAGCTCTTGAAATCACAAATTTGTGATAATGCTGCTTTATATGCTCAAAAATATGATGAAGAATTCCAGCCCTACCTGCCACGTTTTGTAACAGCAATCTGGAATCTGTTAGTCACAACAGGCCAGGAAGTGAAATATGACTTGGTAAGCTGTTATCAACTGATCTTGTCAAGTTTAATAATGAATTATAAATTGGTCAGTCATGCTAAAACTGTATTTCTTTTGTTTGTGGTGTTCAAGCTGGTTAGTAATGCAATCCAGTTTCTGGCCTCAGTTTGTGAGAGACCACATTACAAGCATCTGTTTGAAGACCAGAATACATTGACAAGCATCTGTGAAAAAGTTATTGTTCCCAATATGGAATTTAGAGGTAACTTTTTGAGACTTCTGTTTTCAAAGACACAATAAAATCTAGCTAATTTTAGTGATATGTGGCTTTAGAGGACTAAGAATTGAGGATTACCTCTTGTGTGCTTTAGTAACAGATTCAAAACCAATTTCTGCAACAGATTGTTTTGTAGAATTATATGAATATAATAACTTTTCTGTCTTACTGGGATCTCAAATTGAAAAGCATAGGAAGTCTGGTCATGTGCCACCAATAACTTTTCATGATTAAAGTGAGTGTCAGAGTAATTCAAGGAGTCTAAATAGGCATGGATATCAGGCCTACTAAATTGTGATGGCTATTTCTCCAAGTTTTGATGGGCTTATATTGATTCTAGTATCTAAAATATGGTCAAGATATATTGCAGTGATAAGAAGCTTCTCTCTTAAATTTATGACTCTGGAAGCCTCTTTAAATACACTTAGTGTTGAATATGTCCTGTCTTTTTTTCTTCAGCTCATGATGTGTTAAAGAATAATTTGTGGGGCAGCAGCAAGCTAAACAGGCTAGTCTGGCTGGATATTTCTGACTAATTTCTATTAATCTTACAGAAAAGTACTTGGAAAAAATAGCAAGTTGATAATAATACACCTTTTTACCATAAAACCCAGAGATCTCAGTATTTAAACGTCTATGTATTTTATATTTTCAGCGGCTGATGAAGAAGCGTTTGAAGATAATTCTGAAGAATATATAAGAAGGGATTTGGAAGGATCTGGTAATCCACAGATTTATACTAAGAATACTTGGTCTTTAAATATAGCTCTAAAGAGCTGAAGCAATTTACTGAGCTTTTATAACTTATTTTTTAAATTGGGAAGGTTCCCTCCTGCCCAAGAGATTTTCACCCATGCTTTGAACAAGTTTACTGTCATGATATGCCCATCACAGTGTCTTTTTTGTTTTGGACAATGTTTTTATAGGGTTTTTTCCTTAATTGGATTGGTATGTCTCCTGCACTGCACACATTCTCATTTCAGCAAATATAGCCTGTAAGTCAATGCTGAATAGTGGCCATACTTGTGTATTTAGTTCCTATGTGTAGAGTTTTAAATAACATGGAGAGACTGTGCCTGTATTTAGTAGTCTGTCATGCTGAAACTGAAATTCTGACCGATGTTGCATACAAACCTGTGATCAAGCCAGCTGGATGGCAGCCAGCCCTTGTACACTGGCACCATGTTCAAACCAATACAGCAACCGTCCTGAAAACACAGTGCTGCGCTAACAGAGCTACTTGATTTTCTGATTGTAGCTCTCTGGTTTTCAGCCAGGTCAGAGCACAAATGAACTGCATCTAGATGTGTATGACAATTCTGTATTTGCTGTTCTGTGCCACTGACAGTTTACTGACTGACACTTTTAGATTAATGACACTACATAATAGATTTAAGAAATTACTGTAGCTTGCAGTGGAGGACAAAAATCGGAGGAGAATGTTTTTGAACTTTTTTCAAGCAAATGTTTTGTCATTCTTATCCAGGATTGGCTGCACTTTAGGTATTTGAAGCTTTCATTTGTTAGCTATTTCTGCTTTTAAGAGAATTGAGGCAAGAAGTATTTCTGTTCTTCAGAGATTACTTTGGAAATGTACTCTATTACATTTAAATTGACTTGCTTTATTTTCCTTCTGGTGCTTCTGTTAGTATATTGTGTTAAGGGCCAGCTGACTTTTTTTTTTCCTTTCTTGAAACGAGGAATTTTTACAGATTTTTTTTTTTTCTTTTACAAAAATGTACTGATTCAATGTGGTGGGCCAGCAGCTAAGCACCACACAGCAACTTGCTCACTTCCCACCCTGCTGCAATGAGGATGAGGAAGAGTAGAAGTGAGAAGACTTGTGGACAGAGATAAAGACAGTATAAGTGAAAGAAAGAAGAAGAAAAGAGAAGGTGGAAAAAAAAAAAAGTAGTCAATGACTCGCCACCTCCCACAGTAGACTGATGCCCAGCCTGTCCCTGAGCAATGGCTACCTCCCCAAAAACCCTCTTCCCTCAGTTTTTATTGGCAAGCATGACGTTATACAGTGTGGAATATCCCTTGGGTCAGTTTGGATCAGCTATCCAGGTTGTCTCCCCTCCCAACTTCTTGCCCACCCCCAGCCTACTTCCTGGGAAGGAAAAAGAGAAAGCCTTGACACCATGCAAGCACTTTTCAGCAACAGCCAAAACACTGGGTCCTTTCAACAGTTTTAGTCACCAGTACAAAACACAGCACCATATGGGCTGCTATGAAGAAAATTAACTCCCTCCCAACCAGATTTGGGTGCATAATTGTTAACACAGTAAAAAGCCTCCCCCTGCACGCTTACTGAAACCTTCAGAGGGCTGTGAAACTTGTTAATACATGTGCAGTGTTGGTAGAGGTTCTTTCCTCTTTGTTGTACAAACAGTCCCTATTATGACAGTAAGTAAAAGACTTAAATGTGTTCTTATGCATCGGTGTGGAGGATTGCAAGAATTAAAAGTGTGGCTGTAACTTAAGAAGTTGTATATTAATGTATTATTATGTTTATTAATATGAAAAGCTGCATACTTTCTCATATCCAAAGCATCTTTGGTTCTCATGCAGACATCGACACCAGGCGCAGAGCAGCTTGTGACCTAGTCAGAGGCTTGTGCAAATTTTTTGAAGGACCTGTGACAGGGATTTTTTCTGGATATGTTAATTCTATGCTGCAAGAATATGCAAAGAATCCATCTGTTAACTGGAAGCACAAAGACGCAGCTATTTACCTTGTTACGTCTTTGGCATCCAAAGCTCAAACACAGAAGGTACTTTTACGTTCTATTCATTTTAATCCATATACATTAAAATATTATAGTGTATATGAGGACTGCAGTTCATGTTATGGTGCTTCAGAATGGGACTAACTGTATTTGTAGTAGTTTAATGTTGGTGAGATTAGAAGTTGTCCATTACATAATCCTACCACAGTTGGTAATTTGGAGGTATCTGATCTTCAGATAGATTGGGTGAAGTTAACAACCATTTATGACTAGTTGGCAGGTCTGATTAGCATGTGTGAAGCAGCCATGTGAAGAAACAGAATTAGCTTGGGTCTAGAACCTCTGAGCTTTTAAATGGTACTGAGCTGAGTCTGTAAGCCATGGAAGGCCAAATTTAGCTTTACAGAAGATGATCAGAAGTGTTAAGCAGACTAGAAGGAATCTAAGTGACTCTTACAGTTCTTGTCATTATATTTCCCAATGTTTCCTGTTAGTTGTTTATGATTTGGAAATGGCCTGCGAATGCTAATGATGGCTGGAAATGGATCTCATTACTTGTTTGGGAGAAAGCAACTAATAGGCTGGATACATTGAAAAGCCACACCTGAGCTAAACTCTATTTGTAAACAGTAGCATGGTATCAAACATCCTACAGAACAGACTTTAATATACTACTCAATATTTTAAATGTTATTACAGTTCAAATCTTAGTGGCTTTACAAGACAGATTTGAGGCAAACATATTAAAACATGTTGTACAGCATCTTTATGCGATTTTGCTGAAGTTTCTCAGTCTTTTTCTGAATCTCTAGCTGTATACTACTACACAGCAATTGCTAAGAAGTGATGCGTAATGTGAACCAGTGTCTTCTAGCAAGTAGAAAACTGCTAAGTTGTACATCTTTCTTTTTCTGTGCTAAATAGTGGCAAATATGGGATAACATCACTTAGGATGCTTGATTGATAAATATCCATCTGAAAATCCTGTTTTAAGAATTAGTTGCATTTTTCATAAGAGAGCAGCAAAATAATGATCACTTAGTTTTCTAATTCAGAATTGGAGTTTGAGTCCTAAACCTTTCCTTTTAAAAAGGCCTATCACAAAAAAAGGTATCAAGCTAGTAAGATGCAGATACCTTCTATCTAAAATGTTGTTTGATTACTACTGTATTACATGCTATTATTCCTCAACTCAGAGGTGGTAACTTTGAACCTCGATCGTGCTACAGCTGAAACCTAGACTCTAAAAAACATTAAGAAAAAGAAATTGGATGGCTCTCTGCTAAAGATGCAGTTTCAACATTCTCATCATGTGCATGTATGCTTTAGATTTCTTTAATTAAAAGCACATAAAAATGAGTAAGAAAAATAGCTGAATGTCAACCAATAAAACCGGAGTTGGTTTGGTTTTTGTTTTTCTAGCATGGAATAACACAAGCCAATGAACTTGTTAATCTGACAGAATTCTTTGTGAATCACATTCAACCTGACTTAAAGTCTGCTAGTGGTAAGTTAATATTAATTTTGATATGGCATTTGTTGTGATACATCTATAACCTTGACTGTGGCCATAGTTTAAGGCTCAAGCACTCATATATCAGCATATCTCTGAGACAGAAGACTGTTAACACCTGGCACAACGGAAGTAATTCAAATTTGTTTGGCTGGCAATGAATGAGCTTTTAAACAAAGGTGGATTACCACATGCTATCTGCAAGATCAGAGCATGTATACACATGGTTGCTATCAGCTACATGCTTAAACTTGTTGAATCAAAGTAATTTGATTTCTGTATTTGAGACCTTATGGCAAACTTCTGTGCTATAGAAAACCCTGAGAAGTTAAAATGCTGAAGGCTAGGTTGTAGCCTATGTCAGCCCATATTGATGAGATTACGGATGTCTAGATTTAAGCCACAATTTGTTTTGTGCTTCAGCAATTACCTTATGATATTTGGAAGGTAGTGGGTTGTCTTGGAGTATGTCATTGGAGGTTGTTAAAATTGGAGCCAGAAGCGAAATTTCATGTGAAAGAGTTGGACGGTACACTTAATGGTACTGGGGTGTGATTTGTACCTAAAACTGATACTCTGACAGTGCCTGTACAGAAATGCAGAAACTAAGCAACATAGAAAAACATCATGTGTATTATTTTGGAGGGGAAAAATCATGACTTAATGTCACCCCTATATATAGTATATGTTCAGTAATCACACTTATATGAAAAGTATCAACAAAATTTGCATATTTTTCTATTACAGTGAATGAATTCCCTGTGCTAAAAGCAGATGGTATCAAATATATCATGATTTTTAGAAACCAAGTAAGTTTTTCTTTTACTCTTATGGTAAAAACGTATTGTAGTTTGTTACTTTATACTTGCCAAGCCTAATTTGTCCTACTTGGCCATATGTTAACTCAACAGGTGTTTAATAGTCATATGTAACACTTCATGCTGAATTTTTAGTTTCGAAAGTAAATGATATTGCTATAAATATCCAATTAACATATAGTCTATATGCTATCCATATACACTGAACATCTTAGCATGCTTAGTTCTGCAACACTCAGACTTTTTCAAGTGAATATTAATGTAAATACACTTGATTGCTCATATTGTTGCCGTCGTTGTTAGGGAGTAGAGCAACTTTGTCCTTTACCTTTTCTGATTTGTGAGATGCAGTAAGAAAATATATTGAGTATTATTTCTAAATTTTTAGATTACCTTTATTCGTCTTTTATGAAATATCTGTGATTTTTTTTAAAGCTTCATATTTTTTTAATTGCCAGTTAAGACAAAGTAAAATGGAAGGAGAAATGTACTTTAGGAATATATGCACTTACTGACAATCAAATGTAACACTGATGTTCAGGGGAAGTATACAGGCGATGACAGAAATAGCTCCCTCTTGATTGTCAAGGTGTGATTTAGCAACTGGCAGAGCCTTCTAAGATTTCTTCCTCTGCCAAGCTTTCAGATGGTAGCTGATGAGCTCAGAGTGGTTGTGCTCTAGTGTTGAACCATCTGTATTTTTATGTAACATATGTATAATTTGTTGTTACATTTTTGTAGGTACCAAAAGAACAACTGTTGATATCTATTCCTCTCTTAATCAATCATCTTCAAGCGGAAAGTATTGTGGTCCATACTTACGCAGCCCATGCTCTTGAAAGACTGTTTACCATGAGGGGGACAAATAATACTACCCTGTAAGTTTTCAAGCAGAGATAAACTCATTGCTACATAGGTTTTATCCATTAAGGATGAAAAATACCTGTAGAGGATATTTTATTTCTTACTATGACAATATTGTAAAATGCTTGAAGTTTGTGAATATCTGTCATCATTAAAGAGCTGTGTTTTACTTAACAGCATTACAGCTGCAGAAATGGCACCATTTGTAGAAGTGCTATTAACAAATCTTTTTAAAGCTCTGACACTTCCTGGCTCATCTGAAAATGAATATATCATGAAAGGTAAATGCTTTATGAGTTCTACAATATAAAGTAACTTTGTTAACATGAGGTAAAGGCTTACAGTTACAGGCTACTGAAATTTTTATTTGAAAAACCTAGTTTGTGCAAACCTGCTGAAGAGGTACATGCAGCTTGCAGTTATTTACCAGACTGTATTAAGTCATCTTTGACTGAATTTATGTTACCAAAGAGAAATGCTAAACATAATGGTATTGTGACAAATTATTTCTCAAATGGTAGTCTTTGTAGTCAGAACAGTTACCTGAGCAGCATCAGTAGGAAATCTGAGTGGGCTCTGGCTAATAGTATGCCAAGATTTGAGACTCGCCCAAGATAAATGACGGCCTTTGCAAAGTTGCTTAATCTTCTGTGCTCTGTCTGTAGAATGGGGATAATGAGGCTTTGCTTTATCCTTTGTCATGATTATAGATTGATTGCCTCTGCAGCAGGTGCTCTTTCTTGGGATCCAATTTAATAGTAAAATGTAAAGGATTTAGGCATATGATGGATGACAGAAGTGTATGTTTGTCTCCAGAAGATAATGGTTTCAATTTATTTGCAGCCATCATGAGGAGTTTTTCTCTGCTCCAGGAATCCATAATTCCATACATCCCTTCTGTGATCACACAGCTTACACAGAAACTGCTGGCTGTCAGTAAGGTAAAGAAACAGGCTATCTGAGCAAAATGTTGGCTTTTCACCTTTTAGAGCAGTCTTTCTAAAGATTTATGCATACCTTGTTGCTTGTGTTCTGTTAGAATACTGTAAATTGTTCAGTATTTTCTGACTAAAATAAGTTAAAACAGCCTTTCACTCAAGTACTTTCTTCCTTTTAGGACATGCTTTCAGGTGATTCTCCCTTGCTCTCATCTGAAATTTGGAAATAGCGTATGAAAACTTTTTGTAATACTAGTTTGTTCTAGTATAAACGCTTGCTTGTGCAGAGGCCACCACTACAATAGCGTGTTTTCTCACAACTCCTTTATTCTTTGTCCATGAAACTTCTGAAGCTAATGTTAAATTTAGGCACTGAAATGTGGGATTAAATTAAATTACCCTCCTGCTTTTGGTGGGTAAAATTCTCATAGCTTTTTGTTCAGGCTGGGTTAATATTCTTGAACATTGACATTAGGGAATGCTTCAGAATACCTTCATCAACTATCCAAAAAACTTTTACTATGTATAGTTTAACTTAGCTGCAGAGTATAAGTAAGTGTTCAATAAGGAATTGACTAGTACTTAAAGGATTGAAAAATAATTTTTTTCCAGTTTTTATTTTGTGATACTTTTAACTGCTTGCTAGTTTATGCAGAGCTTCTGAAGAACACTTTTCTTTAAAATATTTATAAAAACCACCCCTCCTTTATACTTAAAAGGTTTTTATGTTTGCTTTTGTCTATGGAATTAATTTCATTAGCATATTATTTAATAAGTCATAAGTATCCTTATTCCCAATTGCTACTTTAGACTTCAGTTGAAATAAAAAAATGTATTTTGATAAATAAGTGACTTGGCTGCAGGTTTGGGTTGATTTATCTGTTTATAACTTGCTTTTAGAATCCAAGCAAACCTCACTTTAATCATTACATGTTTGAATCAATATGCTTGTCGATAAGGATAACATGCAAAGCAAACCCTGATGCAGTTGGAAGCTTTGAAGAGGCTTTGTTTATGGTGTTCACTGAGATACTACAGAATGATGTGCAAGGTAAATTAAAATCAGTAAGTGCTTGTGCTCTCTCTCTACTATAATTGGTTGCTATGACTTACCTCGTGGCAGTCTTTCTGTAACACAGGAAATTCAAGTGGGAGCTCAGCATGTTGACAGTCCTAGTAAACACTTTTAGGAAGCGTCTGGGTTGTTCCATAGGCTACATCGACTGTATTAACTTACTGTAAAAACAAACTGTAGTTTTAAAATATCTAACAATCACTACTCCAGAGCCTCTTACTATTATTCTTAATTGTATTGCCTTATTTTTAGTAGTTTGTTTTCCATGTTCTGAAACATTAACTAATAGAGGAAATAGGCATTGTATATACACAATGCTTGCAATTTTTTGGAATAATTAAATTTGGGAAATGATACATTTCTGCAAGGTTTTACTTGTTGGTATCTTTGTGTTGATATCATAAAATTGTAGGTTCAATCAGTAGATACATGGTTCCTAGGAACTGATAGAGACAGTATTTGCTGAATTTCTAAATGTCATCATTTCTTTTCCAGAGTTCATTCCATATGTGTTTCAAGTGATGTCCCTACTTCTAGAAATGCATAAAAATGAAATCCCATCATCCTATATGGCATTGTTTCCTCATCTACTTCAGCCAGTATTATGGGAAAGGACAGGAAACATTCCTCCTTTGGTCCGACTCCTGCAGGCTTATTTAGAGCGGGGTGCCAATACAATAGCAAGTGCTGCTGCTGACAAAATTGTAAGTTGGATTGATTTATTCACAGTGTATGCCTGTAGACATGTTGATTTAAGATTAAAAATTATGAGGAAGTTTTTCCTTTAGTGAATAGCTGGATTTGTGTAGAATTTGTGCTTACACTTCAAATTAATGGTGCTTACATAGAAAGACAAAAAAATACTATGAATGCAGGCTTTTTGGATGCTTTTCCATTATGTGGAGATTGTCTTGCTTTTGTCAATTAAGATGAAAATTCCTGCACTTAGTTTTTGCAGTCAGGTAAGTTTCTGCAATTTTCCCCATCTCGTTTGCCTCATGTTGATCACTGGATCAGGAATATTCACAGAGGTTCTGTTCAGAAGAGTCTTGAGAAGAGTGTGAGGAGGAGCCAAAATATTGGGAGATCTGAGGATTAGTGGGAGATTTATTCTGCATACTTCTGTTATTTCTGCTGCATGATCTGCTATAGTCAGACTTGATTAGACAATGCCATTGATGAAGCAGACATGCATGTTCAAATTGGCTTTGGTGTTCATTTGGTCCAGGTTAATCTTAATGTTCAAAGGAACATTGCTTGATCCCGATAGAAATAGGTTTTCCTTGTCCTTAACTGCAGAAACAGAATCCTGGTTTAGCTTATGAAAGCTTTTGCCTTGGTGTATGCCTTAGATGGTAAGGGCCAACTTTGTGGTAGGTCACATATGAAGAACTGTTGTATAGAGTTTTATATTTGCTTTGCTTACAGCCTGGATTGTTAGGTGTGTTCCAGAAGTTGATTGCCTCTAAAGCTAATGACCATCAAGGATTCTATCTTCTAAACAGTATTATAGAGCACATGCCTCCGTAAGTATGAGTTGAAATTACATTCAAAACTAATTTCTGTAGACTATTTGATATGTTTGTATACTTTGTAGTTAATGTTTAACAACTCAAAAATGTCACATTTATCAGTAAAATAGATTTGAATTTATACGTTTTCTGTGAAGTGATGTTAGTAAAAGCCTAGTATGAATTGAATAACTATTCTTTTACATTTCCAGTGAATCAGTTGACCAGTACAGGAAACAGATCTTCATTCTACTATTCCAAAGACTTCAAAATTCCAAAACAACAAAATTTATCAAAAGTAAGTTCCTTCCTATATGAAAAGCTTCAGCACTGGTGATGCTGACAGTTTAAAACATGCAGCTGTACTGAATCAGTATCCTATTGTGTCCTGTGACTGCGCAGATGAAGGGATACTAGTGACTCTTAACATCTGTGACTTGCTTCAAATTATTTGTGTAATCAAGGGTGGCATATAGGGCAGTTGCCACAGCAGGTGACACTTTCTTCATGAACACTGAAGGAATGGAACTAAAATAAGGGAAAAGACTTGTGTATTCCTCTTTCTTACTGTGTGTGATATCATTAATTATCTGAAAGTGTCTCCATTTAATCTTCAGCTTATACCAGCAAACTTTCGCTCTCACACAACACAGTAATACTGACCATGCTTCCTTTTGTTACATATAGTTGTGTGTTACTACTCTTAAATATTCTATGCATTTGTGTCATTCTGCCTTAATATGACTTAAGTTATTGCTAAGGTTTTATATTAAACTAGCAAAGCTGTGACAAACTATTGAAAT